ACAGCCGCCCTACCGAATGGAAAAGCCGGACCAGTTGCAAATTTTTTACTAGAAAAAGTATTCTTAATACACGGGATGCCAAGAAATCTGCTCAGTGACAGAGGAAAAGTCTTTCAATCAGAATTAGTAAGGGAATTAGGAAAATTAATGGGAGTAAGAAGCCAATTTACAACCGCATACCATCCTTGTTGTAATGGTCTCACTGAAAGGCTAAATAAGACAATAGCTGACATGTTATCTATGTATTGTAACACACAGTAAACGGACTGGTGTAGCTATCTACCATTTATAACATTTGCGTATAATACAGCAATACAGGACACAACGAGATTTAGCCCATTTATGTTAACATATGCAAGGGAACCCACACTACCAGCAGAAGCTGCATTGTTGGACGCTGACAACGAAACGGACACTCTGCAAATTAGAGAAAAGGCACTCTTAATAAGAGCCATAGCAGTGGAAAATATACAGAAAAGACAAGGGAAAGATAAAGGGCGTTTTGATGAAAGACATAGAGAATTGGACTTTGAAGCTGGAGACAAAGTTAAAGTGTTTATCCCAATCAGAAAGGTTGGAAGAAGTGAAAAGTTACTCTTAAGATGGTTTGGACCATACAAAGTAATTAGAAAAATGGGAGAAGTGAATTACGAGGTACAAAAGATTGGAAGCAGAAAAATGGATACGGTCCACGTGAGTAGGATGTTACCCTACTACGATCCATGGACAGAAGCTGCGCCTATTGAAGAAAGGGCAGATGAGACAGATATAGCTGAAAACGCAGAATCTGAAGTTGATGAGGATGAAGAAGACGAAGAAAAAATTGAAGAAGAAATTGGAAGCAGTGAAGCAGAAAACGAGGAAGAAGAAGACTGATTATACAGATAAAACATAAGATGACGTAGGGAAATGGGAAGTAGAGATAGGATGAAAAAATAGAGTAAGAGATTAAATAGAGTAAACAAGGAGGGATGGAGAGGAATGACAGCTCAATATAAGAGGAAACTAGTGTTGACCTCATAATTCTAGAGGAAGATAGAGAATATGAATTACTATGAAAGAAGAAGAATCAGAAACATTCTTATCGACGGAAGAAGCCGCCGAAGGGATTTTAGAAAAGTACGAGCTGCAAAAAGAAGGCATATGGGTATACAAAAAACAAGTTGGACTAAACTTACCTGTTGGAGCCATAATCAACAAATAACCAAATTATGAAATTTGGTGGCCCGATTGTGGTCATAATTAAACTATGTAATTATAGGAATAAGCAAATTTTTTTTTTAAAATATTATTTTATTTTTTGCATGTATATACAAAACCACCAACCAGGGACGGACTACAAAACAAATTCGAGGGAAGACATTGTAATAGAAGGACCTAGCTCTGGACTGAGCAGGAGCTAGGAACTTCAAACCAGAAGAAACAAATGGATTTGGACCAAAAGTAGACAGACCACAGTACCATTTCCACCACACTCACAAAAGAGATGATCAAGGATTACTTGGGCCGTGGGACCGCGCAAACCCACGACCCAGATGACCAAATCACCAGGAAGTACTTGGAGCCAGAACCAATCCACTTGAAAGACAGAATACAGCACAATGAACAAGAAAGAAGCATACCAAACCAGGAAACGACACTTAGACCGTGGGACCGTTAACACCCCACGATCTAGCTGACCCACCAAGAAGTATTTGGAACCAGAACAGACCCACAATAATGAAAACAGGACCGGACCAAAAGAAAAAACCCATGGCTGAAGCGGTAAAATTGATGAAATTTCTTAGTTGTAAGATATATTTTTTTTGAAGTAACCTGAATAATAATGCACCCTGACCCATCCCACCATAAAAAAAAACTTTGGTTAATTTTAATTTTTAATTTTTTTTCTATACTCGATATTTGGATTATATAATTGTTAAGCAGGGATATTTTATAATTAGGCTATTATTGTAGAAAAGGGATATTTTTAGGATAAGGATATTATTGTATTTTTTGACATTATTATGGTATTTGTATATATTTTGTTGTAAGTGTCTCTTCCAAGCATTGGGGTCCAATGCTTCATGGAGAGGGGGCATATGTCAACTAGCTGCTTAGGAAAGGAGGACCCGGTATTCAACCTTATTAATTTAATTGCCGATTCGATCGAATGTTTATTGCAATTCAGCAATAAATTAATATAAATTGCGCTGCAAGCCGCAGCAAAGGCAGACTTAAACCAGTGCAAGTACCTCTCGTTGGAAAAGCCCCTCTGGAATTAAGTCTCCCCAGTGCAAGTACCTCTCGTTGGGAACGCCCCTCTGGGTATCTTCAGCCTTATCGTTGTCCAGTGCAATTACCTCTCGTTGGGAACGCCCCTCTGGACAAGGCATAAGGGTGACGATAAACTAACCTACAGTCCCCCAAGCAGCATTGACGTGTGGCCCCCTATAAGGACCCCAGTGTACGAAGGGTCATGTATCTTATAGGATTAGCATACATGTAAGGTTATATTTGGGAAAATATACAGCATATATTTTTATATAACCTGAGCGAGTTTCTCTCCATCAACCCCCAAAGCTACAAACCCCCCATGTCACCTCCGTAAAGCGGGTAGTTGTGACAATATAACCCTCGGCAACCGTCGAGGATTTCCAACCTCCATGTCTTTTGAGAGCTAATACTTCTACGCCGCTATTTGCAAGAAGCGTCGCAGAAGTTCTGCGAAAAGCATGTCCAGTGTATTGAGAAGGATTTTGCAAATTTAAAAATGTGGCAATTTGTGCTGGCCATTTTCCTATGGTATTCTTTCCTACAACTTGATTAGTGCAAAAGCCGTTTCGAATTTTTAAGAATAACTTGTTTGATTTTGCGGTTTTTTGTCGTAGTTCGATATATTTCCTACAAATCTCCAAATAATCCACTCGCTGGTCTTCTTTACCAGTGATGGTGAAACTCCTTTGAATAATGGTTTTTGTATTGGGTATTTTAACAAAAATGAACGTTTCCTGATTATCTATGTCTTGTAAAGTCAAATTACATAATTCCTCCCTTCTGCATGCTCCAGCTACACCAAATATCATGCCTATCTACGAAAAAACAACAAATTAATTCTTTGCATTGTTAAAAACACAGGTAAATTAACTCACTTTCAAAATCAAGTATCTATCATCTGGTGCCTCCATTAGAAACCTGTATAAATCCTCCTTTGTGAAAACTTTAGATTTTTTCGGTGTATGGCCAACGTTTTTTCTTTTCAGAAAGGCAATTAAAGTTGCGTATTTCGAAATGTCAACATTTTCCTTCAGAAAAAGTGTCACCTTCAGCATGGAATACTCAGCCCATAAGCTTCCAGGTGATTTTAACTTCTGATTTCGGTGTACAAAGTATGCCAAAAGCACTTTCTCCGAAACAGCCCAGTTTTTGTCAACGCACCACTTCTTAAAGATTTCAAAGGTTTTTTCGTACCGTTGCCTTGATTTTTCCGGAATCACAGCGTCACAACGAATATTCCAAGCATTTTCCAGTTCACTATCACTATTTTCACTCATATTTCTCCTTAAATTTCAAAAAAGCGTATTTGCAGCTTGCAACCGTATTGTTTGAAAGCGAGTTTTGCGTAACTAACACAAATAAACAATTTGAGAAGCACCATAACAACCATACCAACCATTAGAAACAAGTAGTCCAGCCAACTATAATAATAATAATAATTGTTATAGATAATGTGCGGTGGTGGATAACCATGGAAATAAGAGTTGTGATTTTTGGAAGCGTTGCAAATACAAAAGTTGCCAATTTTTCATTGGGAACGCGCCTTTATAGGAGGAAGACAATTCTATTTTTGAAAATGTCAATTGGATGCCATTCTATAAATTAAGTTTTTGAACTGGAATAGCCCGATCGTGCATAAAACGTAATAAGTATTTTGGGCGTTAAGTGTCGTTAACCGCCCTCGAATATTGAAGACCTCCGCTACGCGTCGGTCTTCAAACAATCTCGGGCGGTAAACGACACTTGTCGCCCTTAATACTTAAATAACTATTTTGATAGTTTCCATGATGTTTTTATCAAATATATAAATTTTAAAATTTTATTATTAATTTAAGACGCGTCGGGCCAGCGGCCCGACCGGCCCAGAGATACCGGCCCACCGGGCATTTGCCCGGTCGTCCCATCCAACCCTGGGTTTGTACCACTGATCTAGAAAATAAATGGATAAACAATCGTACGGCTCGATTGGCTAAACTTGTGCGAAAATTTGGGGTCAATATTCTATGAACAGTTGTGCAACGGAACAGCTAAACGCCTGCGCAGTGTCTTATCTTTCGAACAACTGTTCTAAATTTTGAAATTCCTTCCTTTTCATTGGTCAGATTTTGTGCACGCACAGTACATGTATCTACTGCGCACGCTCACAGCTGTCCCAGTCAGTTGTTTTTGTTTACATTTTGACCTCGTAAATTAGCAGCATTAGAAGCGTTCTTTGTTTATCCATTTATTTTTGAGATCAGTGGTTTGTACCCATGAGAACTTTTACTCAGCAGGTCGAAATATACAACATAGAGTCCGCGTCAGCAGTAAAGAGTACGGTGACGGCACGAAAAGCTGCGCGAAGCGGGTCGGATCTCTCTCCCTCGTCTATCTCTCGCTGTCTGCCGTGAGCTGAAACCAGCAGCGGGGTATCTTTTTAGACAAAACTTGGATAGAAAATAAACTAAATAAATATGCCTGCTGGCCGTACGACAATGAACCACGTGCTTGGCGTTCGGCAGCAGCACCGAACAATACGATAGTTCGGTTAGTCTTCAAAATTGGATTTGTGCGCATTTGACGTCACCGTACTCTTTACTCTTGACGCGGACTCTACCAAAATTTGGTTAAATTCCACGTTCAACCAAATTCCCATAAGAAGTGTGCGGGGTCCTTTTCGGGTTTGCTAAAAAGACCCGATTTTTGATTTATTTTTACTAGTTTCGGGGTCTTTTACTACCCTTTCGCCACGGGGGTGTGCCAGCTGACAGTAGGGTTACTTATTTATTAAATAAAAACTACCGTACAGAATGAAAAATAATTATGCTGAAATGACCCATGAAATTTTGACGCCAGCCCCCTGGCTATTAGAGAAAAAGGAGACTTTATTGAGGCATAGAACAAGCATCCTAAATGGCTACTAATCTACAGTCCTAAAACTAGAAGATATGTTTCAAAAGAATCAAAACTTTAGAACACACCACCAAAAACTTAAAAAGGAGAGAACCCTTCTTCTTGGAAGAAAAACTTCTTAACTAAATTAACGTAGTCTATAAATGGAATTCCCTAAACCCAGAAAAAATAAATGCACCAAACAAAAATATTTTTAAAAATAGACTAAACCAAAATCTTTGTACCATAAAAAACACATTAGTGCATTATTTTTAAAGAAATACCTAAATCTAAAAACTACAAGTAAAGTAAAGTGATGGACTCATGTGACTTAGACCGCTTTCCATTGCTAACAACTTCAATACAACAACTAAAATACAATACAATACAATCCAAAAACGCAAGAAATTTTTATTGAAAAATTTCATGTAAAGTAACATTTTTTTTTGCAAACAGAAAGATATAGGAATTTAAAAATAATTAACATCAAAATTCATTAATCAGCACTTAACAAAGCAAATTTATTACTAGCAACTGCCAGTGCTCCATCTTCACTTGAATTTTCAGTATCCCCCTGTGTAGCTTCTTCATTTCCACTTTGACAGTTATCTTCTTCTTCTTCCTCATCCTCGCTATCTTCTTCACTCGAATGGTCAGCAGCAAAACCTGCTTCAAATTTCCCCAATGGCTGATCTTCTTCTTTTATAGATTGAATCCATTTTACCATTTCAATGTCAGGGTGTGTTTTCCAATAATCTAATTTCTCAAGATAACCTTGGGGTCTTAAACACAAACAGATTTTCCCATCCAAAGCCATTCTGAGTATACTATTGGCTGCCCTATACGAGTCTAAACGAGCAGCTTTTGCAGTTAGATAACCTCTTTTTTTAGCCCAACCATCACAGATATCCACCGGTGACCAGGTATCATCTTGTTCAGGATGTTCTATTCTCAACATTTTTATTAGGTTTAATCTTTCAGCTAAAAATCTTATTGTAGAATATGGTTCTCTAAGTTGGGCTATAGGAAAGCTTCCCATTAGAACTTGCAAAGGTTTGGGAACTTTTGAAGGGAAGACTAACCCTGGACAGTCACATAGGCGTACATTGTTTGTTAAAAAAATGGTTTGGAAATGTTTCGTGTGTCCCGGAGTTCTAGAGACGCTTACAACCTTTTTGCCCATAATAGCATTCATTAAAGATGACTTTCCAACATTTGGTTGCCCCAAACACCCAATAGTCAAAACTCCATCATTAAATTTTTCATATTCATAGTAACCAGTTTCATTTTTACCATGCAATAATTGCCCAACTTCAAGTGTATCTTCATGAATATCAACTTGCATTTCATCCTTTATTTTGCATTGCCATGACGTTAAATCTACTTTATCACCAACCAAGCTCTTACAGACTTCAAATAGTTTTTGAGTTCCCTCAGCTGCCATACGAATGCGGCCTTTTCTACGGCGCACTAGTAGGCCTCCCTTATCAGTTGTTTGACCTACTAGATTGTAGCCAGGAATGCTAGTGAACATGCATATTTTCAATAGAGGATATTTTTCTTCAAAGTATTTTTTCCAGGCTACCACTAAAGGTGGTGGGCATAAATCTATTTTATTAAGAACTAAAATGAAGTCTTTGTTTAATGTGTTTGTTACGTAGGAATATAAGGATGGTGGGAACATTACTGCTGGGAATCGGATGTCTACTATAAATAGGATTATATCAGACATTTCTAATACTCTCCATAATTGTCTCCAGGTTTCCAAATTGAGCTCAAAATAGCTGAGGTCTTTCAAGTTGTGATTGGCCTCAATATTTTTTAAATATTGATGAAAGTATCGGTTTTCCTGGGCTTCCAATTCTTCTTTGGATAAATCAAAATTCCATGGAGGTCTTTTTGGAAATTCTAGGGATTCTTCGAAAAAATGACTAGCTTCAATTTCCAAACCCTTTTCCTCTACTGGAATTAAACTAGTTCTGGCTTCTTCCTTCTTTAATTTGATTTCTTTATTGGATTCTTTAAAAAACTGAAGTGCATAACGGTTGGGTCTCGATCCACCACCTTTTGTAGGCTGGTAATTTAGTTTTCGAACAGACGTGCCTTCTTCGTCGCTATCATCGTTAGATTTTTGAAGAAATGGTACTTTGTTGCCTGTTTGCTTTCGGAGTCGTTTTGCTTGCATTTGTTCTTTCTTGGCTTTCCCACTGAATGGGACTTTTTTCCGACCTTGAGGCATTTTCAACAGCAAAATTATGTATTGATAATATGATCGATAAACTGATTTATAGCAAAATTAAACTGTATTATGATTGAATAAAACTATAATTCAAGAATTTCGATTTAACTTGCTATTTTTGTATTTTTTTACTAATTGAATAACATAACCAACAATTTCGACAATCAAATATCAAATATGACACTTTTGAACTTGACAAGATTCCGACACGGCATAGCGTTTTATTTTAGCTTAGCTGCTTTCCAGTGCCTAAATTGTTAAAGAGTATCATGCTCCTGGAGTGTGACGCTCTTGAACTGTTCGACATAAGTAGCACTGGAACGCTCTCGTCTTAACCCTCACCATTTTGCACTAGGAACATGGAACACCGAAATAAAGGTTGGCGCACGAGGGGGCAGGGGAATCAGGGGATAACAGAAATGAGTAATTCAAGTGTACGACACTCTAAGCACTGGAACGCGCAAAGCAATTGTGGAACACTCCTGAGCTGCTCAGGAGTAACTCAAATGGGTCACTGGAAAGCACCTTTGAATTACTCATTTCTGTTATCCCCTGCCCCCTCGTGCACCATCATTTCGTTGTATGCTCCTGACGTCCGAAATGGTGGGGGTTAAGACGAGAGCGTTTCAGTGCTGCTTATGTCGAATAGTTCAAGAGCGTCACACTCCAGGAGCATGATACTCTTAACAATTTAGGCACTGGAAAGCAGCTCTTGTTGCTTGTTCGAAAATGGCGACCTAAATTGCCCGTTCGTGGAAGGAGTAATATAATCAAAGACGCGCAAATTCTAGGTATTTCTGGTTTGAATGTTTTTGTATACAGGGTGAGGCACGAAAAACTTTCCACTCAGGTTTTTTCAGCTACTTTACCCTGCCGAAATGGTGGATTCTCAAAGTTAGGAAACATGCGCGACCCTCCTTTCCATTTGAAATTTTCGGGCATTTGGGGATTATGGGTTGACAGGTAAGGGGTGAAAATACCAATAAAATGTGCCCTCCCCAAGAATCGTAAAGTAACAGGATTGCTCATCCTCTCGAGTCGACAGGGTCTGCGAGTGACGTCACGACTATTAGCAGCATAGCAGGGTATAATGGTGACGTCACCTGCACCCGTAGGCCTCGATGGGCTGCTTGCGATTCAGGTTCTGCTTGTTTTTTCGTCGATTTTGAATGTAGGACAGGTAATTTTAACAAGATTATAACGTCTAGGAATGCGTTTTTTGACCTATACTGTTTTAAACTCGGCTCATGCATTTTCCGCCAACAGTTGAGGTCTGCGGCTGAAGTGGCAGACACTTTCAGCTTAAAGAGCAATCCTATTATTCCTATTAGGTTATGTTCTCTTGGTGTCCCCCCCCCCAGGAATCGTAAACTAACTGCTATTTGCACCGCTACAACTTAAGGTCAGCCTTAGTCTTAAGTGGAACTTAAACTACGATTTTGCTTTGCACCGCTGTTTAGGGTCCACCTCAAGTCTAGTTAAGTTAAGCCCCAGATTTTCTCCGCTTAGTTGGATTCTAACCTCATTTTTGGGTTTTTTTTTCTTTTTTTGACAGAATTCTGGTTGACTTTGATTATCGATGATTTTGTATTTGTAATATCCAAAGGTTCCAGAGCCTTTTCTCCGAAGACTGCATGTTTAAAGCAAAAAAAAAAAAATATATATATATATATATATAAACAATGGGAGTTTCTTGGGGTATCGGTCGTCTTATATATATATATATATATATATATATATATATATATATATATATATATATATATGTTTATTTTCATAGCAAAAACAAGTTTTCCGAAGTTTTTTTATGGTTGTTGCTGTTATTTAAGTTATTTGTTAATGCTTTTATTTTTGTGCGTCGGGTAATTTCTACAGAATTTTGCACAAGAATGCCAACAATATATTCAAAATAATATCCACGTGATATAACTTATGAAAAAAAAAGACGAAATTAACGAAAAAATTTATATTTTAATCGCAAAGATAGGTTAACGGATAAATTCCTTGCTTGAAATAGGTACCTCCACCTTCATTTCTGCCTTGAAATACGCATTTTTGCGCTGTTGCCAATAGCTTTCAATTCTTAGATTTGGTCGGTGCAAAGCAACTCAACCTAAAGGTTCACTTTAAGCTTAGCCTCTACCTAACTTAGTTTGTTTTTAAGGAACACCGGTGCAAATAGCTGTAACAGAATTGACCTTTTGTTTGGACGCCATATTGCGGTGCGCGAACGTAGTTGCCAAAAGAAGAAAACAAAAATTACTAGCGGGCTGTCAACATTAAAAACAAAAGTAACTAAATGATTGATCCTCGCGATCCTTTTTGTTTGCTTAATTTCTCTCTCTGATTGATGAAAGTAAATAGGTAGATATTTTATTATTTCTATTCTGCCCAATACAAGCTAAGATTGATGACTTTTCTTTTCAAAAACATTCGTAATAGGCGGCAAATTTCAATTTTAAATTTAATTTATTCAGTAACTTTTGTTTTTAATGTTGACAGTACGCTAGTAATTTTTTTTTTCTACTTTTGGCAACTATGTTCGCGCACCGCAATATGGCGTCCAAGCAAAAGGTCAATTCACCATATTAGTTAGGTTAGGAAAAATCGGGCGCGAAATTTAAAATGGGTTCCTAAACACATTTCAACAAATTTGACAGCAATGTATTTCTTATGGGGGATTCAAAAGAGTGATTTTCAGACGGGAATATCTTTGGTTCTGGGCATTTCTTAGTATTTGAACCTATTATACGTCAAACTTTGAACATATTTCTCTATAATTCATGCTCTAATTGTTTTTTTAGACCTATGAATTAAAAATACAAATGATTTAGGCAATCTACTGACCTGTCAAAAACGAAATTCAATATGGAAGTTCGGGTCAAGCACTGTGTTGTTTATTCTGTATGTCATTGATTCTGTCACATTCTGGACAAACGTCCAGATTTGAATTATCGGATTTTGTGTTTTTTTGTGTGTTTAGGTATTGTGTTTATTGAAATGCCAGCGATTTAGATCGTAATTGGGTGTGGAAGTCGAGGTAACAGGGATAATGTGAAATTTTATTAAGTTCCTGCTATTTTAAATCATTGGCTTTTGATCTACAAATATGAATTATCAAAACAACGCAGGGCTTTATGGATTGATGCAACTAAAAGCTCGATTTTCCCTTAATAATAATATCTTAAGATATTCACTCTCCATCTCAGAATTTATTAATAAATTAAAAAATACGTAGAAACACTATAAACACTATAAAATTCACTTTGAAAACAACCATGGCCAGAACACTAAAAAATACGTACTATAAAATTCACAATGACCAAAACCAATGAAAAATACGTAGAAACACATAAAATTCACTTCGAAAGCATCAAGGGCCAGAACACAAATGCTCTCCTTACGAATGTCAAACGTCACCGGCTTGTCACCGCAATATTTGACCCGAACGGCCATTATAAAATCACGTGATTGAGATTGCCTAATTGTTTTCTTAGACCTATGAATTAAAAATACAAATGATTTTAATTAAAAGTGTCTGTTTTCGGTGGACGTACGTCGGGTCTAAAACCAGCTGTAAGAAAGTGAGGTTGTGTGTTGTGTTATGATTGTTGGTGAATTGTTTATTTATTTATTTATCACTAGTTCAGTCATTTGTTTTTCCATTTTTTTGGATTATTGAAGTACATCTACTAACCAAGTATGTAGGTACACTTTTATTTTATTATAATTATAGGTACCCATATATACTTGTGGATCAAGCAACGACGTACGTATTTTATACAAACATCGGCTTCTTAAATTGGTAATATTTTTATTTTAACAATGTTTATTCAACTTTCAAGTACTCTCTCAGTTAATTAACATATTAAAAAAACTATTTATACATCTCACTTCCTTAACAAACGTTCTATCACGTCTACAGACGCTTTTAAAATTGAGTTCCCATAAGACATCAATGTATTAATTTTTAAACTAGGAACCCGCGCCAATTTGCGATTCTAACCTAACTAATATGATCAATTGCTCATCCTCGTGTGACGTCACCACTATTACCAGAGTAGCAGCGTATGGTGGTGACGTCACCCGCAGGCCCCGATGGAGTGCTTGCGATTTATGTTCTGCTTCTTTTCCGTCGATTTTAAATGTAGAAAAGGTGATTTTAACAAGATTATACGTTTAGGAATGCGTTTTTTTGACGATTACGGTTTTTAACTCGGCAAATGCATTTTATGCCAAAAGTTGAGGTCTACTGCTGAAATGGCAGACTTTCAGCTCAATAAGCAGTCCTTTTCGGTTAAGTGCTTTGGGGTGCCCAAAAAAAAACAAAAATTGACGTGTCCGAACTATTTTTGATTAATCACCTTGGAACAACCTGGGTCTGAAATTTTTCGTACCTCACCCTGTATGGTCAAGTCGAAAATAGGAGCTGCTACGATCAAGCACTTTTCTCACCTAACTTGAAGAATCTAACTAAGTTGCGCGTACGATTTGTCACAACTAAGTTAGAATCTGCCCTCCCCCCTTACCCCTGCTAAGACACCCGGATTTTAAACTGAGATAACTTAGCTGACCTAAGTTGGCGCGAAGTACGCATTTTTTGAATTTTTGTTCAGGTTATATTTCTTTATTTTTGTTTTGTTGAAAGTTGGTCGTTGGAACAGGAACTTTGAAAAGGTGTTTAGTTTAATGAAATTAATTATTCATTATTGCCATTGCACACAATCGAATATGAAACTTTCAAAGTCAGTTTTAAATTTAACGACGAGGAAATAAAAGTTTAAATATACCAGTCGATGGAACAGATCACATATACAAAATAACGAGATATGAATTGCGCGTACGATCAACCAACTTAGCTCAGCTAAGAAACTAACTTCAACTTAGGTAAGAAAAGTGCTTAATCGTAAGCAGCTAGGATAGTGGGTCTGTTTCTGCTGAAATCACAAACCAGTCAGAGTGAATTTCATTGGTTGAAACTAATTTTCTGACTGTTTCTGACTGTTAACCAATGAAATTCGCTCTGACTGGTTTGTGATTTCTGCAGAAACAGATCTATTGTTTAACGAGTGACGAAAACATCATTTTTTGCAATCAATGAAACTAAGTAGGTAATATCAATCCTCGAAAAAAATTACAAATGACAAATCGTCGGCATCATATGAAAATTGCAGTCCAATTTTTTTCAAAATTGAGATTTTA